GACAGATGTATGGAATAAGGTTGGGGGCAAACACGTATATCGAGGGTGGGGCAGTAGGAGATGCAGTAAGGGAGAGGAAATAGAAAAGACGATAGAATGAAATTGAGAGGTGCACTGAGTGATGCAGTGTGACAGATCCCTCTGTCTTGGAACTTTGCCTAAGACCCGCTGGGTTCGTCTGTATTTCGGTTAATTACCTGTCTTTACCCCCCATTAGTTTATTTCCTAAACTCACGAACAAACTGCCGAACGGCCGGCCACCCAGCCTGGACGTGTGCTGCTGGTTAACCTCTTGGCCTCATTAGAACGTTGTGGTTAACCGCAGACACCTCCTAATTATCAACGGTATGCTAGGTGGTCGTTGTTCGTATGCCGACCACGATACGGCGGCCATCTTGGACGCACGAATGATCAGCGGTGTTCGTCGATGATTTCATGGAACTGAAAACTGACACTATTTCCCCCAAACACCGCTGAAACCGTCGACCTCCCTTCTCTGCCTTCCAGCATACAAACGCACGAAATGACTTACCCCAGATAGCCATCCCATGGAGCCCGTTCGTATACCAAAAGACAATGTGAAATACTTTGGCTCCACGGCGACTGAACTGTGTTTACAGAATCTGAGCGCCATTCGGTAATAATGTGCGTTCAGATCTAAGCTATCTGGGGATACGTTAAATGTAGTTATTCTATTCGTGTAATTTGGAGTTATTGATTTTTATTATTATGTACAAATTGGAGTTTGGCCTCTGTCCGTGGAGATAATTGGATTACTTCCCAATTAACTCCAGGATAGAAAGAAGGGTTGTTCTCAGCTAAAGGGGAGTGTTTATGCCACTGTGATTGGCTACTATATCCATATTGTCCCAGTCTTCCATTTGGTTCCCTAGGGGAGTGTCCACCAGGTGGGAGAGCTGCATAAATACCGGGCAGGTAGCCCTCAATAAATCAGATATCTGCTTAACCCTCAATACTGAGCTTGGTCTCATACTTGGGGGTATTGGATTTGTATGGTTTACTCGTACGGCTGTTTGATACGTGAAGGATGCAAATCTGACACTTGTCATCCAATCACAGCTTTCTCATTGTTTTAAGTTAGAGCTTAGCATCTTTGATTGTACAAGTGTACCAAGAATGCTTGTGTTGTACCTTATCTTTTGAATGGCAAGCTGCAAATATGTATTCGAAAGAACATACTGCAAGCTGCTACTTTTTAAAGTTTAGCTTTCTGTGTATTAAGTAATTATGTCCTTCATATAATTCTCAAACATTAAAACAACGATAAGGCATAAAATGTAATGAAAAGCAACTTACGCGTTCAGTGATTAACCTCTTAGAGAATGCAGCCAAAAGATTGCACACTGCTAACCCTGCTCTGTGTCGAGTTTTATACTCTTCCAACCAATCATAAGAATCCAAGGGATTGTAATATTTCATCATGGATGTCCACCTACACGAGAGAGTGAGAGCAGACATCATGCATCCAGACCATTTTCACAGTAGTAGTAAAACAGCAATAAGAATTACAATACAGACTGTTAATCAGATGTCTTTAAGTAAAAAATCCATTTCTAAAGCACTGAGCTAATAGTAATAATCAAAACCCTGAGTCATCAATCAGACAACTGGTCTTTACTACCTCAACTCAATTGCAAGCTGTTTTAGATATACCCCCAACAAAAAATGCATTTCAACTAAATAGAGTATTTTTTTTCTTTTTATTATTTACTTAGGCAATGAAAAAATTTACTCTGAATTTTTGACAATTCACACTTTAGATAATTACCCAGTCTTTTTATCCTTACTGTCCTAATGCAACCTCTTAATTTCTTATTAGTATTTGCATCTAGAAAGGTAATGTGTGTTCAAAACATATATACACTAAACTCCAAATGGCAAAATGCAAGCACAAATAGCTGTTAAAGGATCACTATAGTGTCAAGAAAACAAAGCGGTTTTCCTGACACTATAGTGCCCTGAGGGTGCCCCCACCCTCAGGGTCCCCCTCCCGTGGCGCTGAAGGGGTTAAATCCCCTTCAGCCACTTACCTTAAGCCAGTGATGGGCTTCCTTGGCGCTGGTGACCTCTCCTCGCCCGCCATCAACACAGCCGAATGCGCATGCTTTCTCAATGCTTTCCTATGGATGCTCTGCGTGATGGAGGTGAAATTCACCTCTAGTGGCTGTCTTGGCTGGATTAACCCCAAATGTAAACATAGTTTCTCTGAAACTGCTATGTTTGCATCTGAAGGGTTAAAACCTGAGGGACCTGGCACCCAGATCACTTCATTGAGCTGAAGTGGTCTGGGTAACTATAGTGTCCCTTTAAGGAAAAAAGTCTTTAACTTGGATTAGAATTCCCTACAATTTGCATTTTGGAAAATAACCTTAAAGGACCCCTATAGTGCCAGGAAAACACTTGTTTTCCTGGCACTATAGTTCCCTGAGGGTGCCCCCGCCCTCAGGGACCCCCTCCTGCCGGCTCTGGGGAGAGGAAGGGGTTAAAATCTTACCTTTCTCCAGCGCCGGGCGGGAGCTCGCCTCCTCCTTTCCGCCTCTTCGGCTGAATGCGCATGTGCGGCAGGAGCTGCGCGTGCATTCAGCCAGTCTCATAGGAAAGCATTTATAATGCTTTCCTATGGACGCTTGCGTCTATTCACTGTGATTTTCACAGTGAGAAGCAAGCGCCTCTACCGGCTGTCAAGAGACAGCCACTGGAGGCTGGATTAACCTATTTATAAACATAGCAGTTTCTCTGAAACTGCTATGTTTATAAAAAAAATGGGTTAACCCTAGCTGGACCAGGCACCCAGACCACTTCATTAATGAAGTGGTCTGGGTGCCTAGAGTGGTCCTTTAACAGTAAACGTGTTTGGATTGGAAGGTAGTTTGTGTGAACTGACACTTAAAAGTACTTTATCGGAGTCTGGGTGCCCTGTCCTCCCACCCCTTTTTTTTTTAACTCTGCAACAGAAAGCACTGCAGAATGGCAATGTTTTCATTGCAGGGATTAAGTGCCTCTACTGGCTCCACACAGACAGTAACAACAGATGCTTATGCAGATGCTTATGCAGAACTATCAGAGTAAAAAAAAAAAAAAAAAAAAAAGGTATTTCTGATTGGAGCAGTGTGGCATTTTGCCTTGCATGCACACTAGCCTCCCAATGATTTCCTATGGGAAAGCACTGGATTGACTGAGATCAAGGAGGTGGGACCACCTGCGGAGACCGGCGCTGAACGGAAGTAAAGCTGACTAAGATTAATTTTGTTTTCTCCTTGCTGGTGGGGGCTGGTCACTTACATGGCCACCAGGGAACAAAGAATACATTTTTATTCTTAGCTTTATAGTATTCCTTTAAATCAACCAAGCAGTGACTATACAGGAGTTGGAGAAATGCCAAATTAATTGTTGCCTTGATTTTGCCTTTCGTTTTCCAATTCCCAGGAATCCAATGTTGAGTGAGCAGACCCCAGATAGGATTCCCAGGAATCCAATGTTGAGTGAGCAGACCCCAGATAGAATTCCCAGGAATCCAATGTTGAGTGAGCAGACCCCAGATAGAATTCCCAGGAATCCAATGTTGAGTGAGCAGACCCCAGATAGAATTCCCAGGAATCCAATGTTGAGTGAGCAGACCCCAGATAGAATTCCCAGGAATCCAATGTTGAGTGAGCAGACCCCAGATATGATTCCCAGGAATCCAATGTTGAGTGAGCAGACCCCAGATATGATTCCCAGGAATCCAATGTTGAGTGAGCAGACCCCAGATATGATTCCCAGGAATCCAATGTTGAGTGAGCAGACCCCAGATAGAATTCCCAGGAATCCAATGTTGAGTGAGCAGACCCCAGATATGATTCCCAGGAATCCAATGTTGAGTGAGCAGACCCCAGATAGAATTCCCTGGAATCCAATGTTGAGTGAGCAGACCCCAGATAGAATTCCCTGGAATCCAATGTTGAGTGAGCAGACCCCAGATAGAATTCCCTGGAATCCAATGTTGAGTGAGCAGACCCCAGATATGATTCCCAGGAATCCAATGTTGAGTGAGCAGACCCCAGATAGAATTCCCTGGAATCCAATGTTGAGTGAGCAGACCCCAGATATGATTCCCTGGAATCCAATGTTGAGTGAGCAGACCCCAGATATGATTCCCTGGAATCCAATGTTGAGTGAGCAGACCCCAGATATGATTCCTTGGTGACAGCCCTGGCCCCTCAGCCATTTGCCAGGTTGCCTAGGCCCACAGCCAGGGCTGTATCTCCTATGGCAGCATGCCCGGAGTCCGCCCAGCCCCTCACTCACCTGACAGACAGCAGCCGGCGCCACACCTTGCCCCGGGGCGGACAGAGCTCCCGCAGCCGCCGGCACGTGCCCTGGATGCTAATGATGTCCCGGTGATCTAAACACCTGGAACACAGGATCTGCTCCAACAGCTCCCCGGGGAGCTCTACCAACAGCGGGCCGGTACCCGGCTCCATGCTGCCATCCCCGGGGCTGGCGGCTATCGGCTGCACACTGAGCGCTCTCCCCTCCGCAGCGGAGGCCGCCATGTCTTGTTTACATCTCTGACGTATTTTAGGAGCGCCCGCAGTCGCCGAGATGACGTCACCCGCAGTGACAGCTCGAGGAGCAGCAGTCAGTATGGGGGCGTGGTTAGGGGGAGGTCACTGATGGGCTTCTGGTGTACTGTATACAGGGAATACATTGGAGGAGATTATAGCTGTATTCTCTCATAGGAAACACTGGGGGGTGATCAGTGCACACTGGCAGGTTACTAGAGGGATGCTGGTATAATGCTGACTTCACTGCCAGTCTGATGGGGTCAGAATTTCTTATACTCCCCTTGCAAGTGTGAGACACTCAGGTTTGGAGGAGAAGCACTCCTGTAGGCTGCTATCCTTCTCTTAGTCACCCAATCCTTTGGTACTCATAGCTTTGTGCTCTTGCATAGACAGATCTTTGCCAAGATTTGGATTAAAGGGACACTATAGGCACCCAGATCACTTCAGCTCATTGAAGCGGTTTGGGTGCAATGTCCCAGTACCCTTAAACCTGCAATGATAATTATTGCAGTTTCTGAGAAAACAATTACCTCTCGGGTTTAATGCCACCTTTAGTGGCTGCCTATCAGACAGCCACCAGAGGGACATCCGGTTGGTCGCCTAACTGACGCTAGACGTTCCCTTGCCGTGCATGAATAAATCCAGCGCCAATCAAATCCCAATAGGAAAGCATTGAAATAATTTCTATAGGTAATTCTAATGTGACAATGTCGACTGGGAATGGGGGTTGGGAGCGTGGGTGGAGCCCGATCCAGCGCCGAGGGGCGTCAACACTGGATTCAGGTAAGAGACTAAAGGGCTTTTAATCCCTTATGCACTTGGGGGGAGGGGGGAGTGAGGAGAAACCTAACCTGTAAGAACCTTAAGTGCCAGGAAAAAAGCTTTGTTTTCCTGACACTATAGTATCCCTTTATAATCTACATCAAGCATGTCAAACATGCGGCCCACAAGGTCCATCTTTGCGGCCCAGCAGGCCGCGAATACATGCTGGTATTATAGCAGAGTAGGCACCTGCTTTCCCCACATTGCAGGTGCCTACTCTGCTAACACTTACCTGGCCGGGGAGGAAGGCCACCGAGGGAGCTTAGTGTTCCTGCTCCTCACTGCTCCATCGTGTGCGCAGTCTGAAGTGAAGCCGGGCGCCGGAATATGACGTCATATTCCGGTACTCGGCATCACTAAACCGCGCGAGGGAGCAGGAAGGATCCCAGGGAGATGCCCCACATCGGCTCCATAAGGTAAGGAGCAATAAAGTAAAGTATGTGTGCAAGAATGTTACATAGTTACATAGCTGAAAAGAGACTTGCGTCCATCAAGTTCAGCCTTCCTCACATATGTTTTTGCTGTTGATCCAAAAGAAGGCAAAAAACCTAGTCTGAAGCGCTTCCAATTTTGCAACAAACTAGGAAAAAATCCTTCTTGACCCCAAAATAGCAGTCAGATGTCTCCTTGGATCAAGCAGCTATTACCCCACTAATTAGAAATTATATCCCTGTATGTTATGTCTTTGCAAGTATTTATCCAATTGCAGTTTAAACATCTGTATGGACTTTGATAAAACCACCTCTCTAGGCAAATAATTCCATATCCTTATTGCTCTTAATGTAAAAAAAAACCAACCTTTTCTTTGCCTTAGATGAAATCTTCTTTCTTCCAGTCTAAATGTGTAACCTTGTGTCCTATGTATAGCCCTGTTTATGAATAGATTTCCAGATAAAGATTTGTACTGGCCCCGAATATATTTGTATAATGTTATCATATCCCCTCTCAGGCGCCGTTTTTCCAAACTAAACAGATTACATTTTTTTACCCTTTCTTTGTAACTAAAATGCTCCATTCCTTTTATCAATTTTTTAGCTCGTCTCTGCACTTTTTCTAGTGCCATGATATCTTTCTTTAGAACAGGTGCCCAAAATTGCACAGCATATTCAAGGTGTGGTCTTAGCAGTGATTTATAAAGAGGCAAAATTATATTTTCATCCCGAGAATTTATGCCCCTATTTATACATGACAAAACCTTACTGGCCTTAGCAACTGCAGATTGACATTGCATATGGCTGTTTAATTTTTTGTCTATAACAATTCCCAAATCCTTCTCGTGTGTGGTTATCCCTAATTCACTACCATTTAGGGTGTGCATTCTTAGCCCCGAAGTGCATAACTTTGCATTTCTCTACGTTAAATTTAATCTGCCATTTTAGTGCCCAGTCCCCCAATCTATCCAAATCCCTCTGCAGCAAAGCAATATCCTGCTCACATTTTATTACTTTACAAAGTTTTGTGTCATCTGCAAACACTGATACATGGCTTTCAATGCCTATTTCAAAATCATTTATAAATATGTTAAATAAAAGCTGTCCCAAAACAGAACCCTGAGGGACACCACTTACCACTTTTGTCCAGCCTGAAAATTTACCATTAATGACAACTCATTGTACTCTATCCTTAAGCCAATGTTCTACCCAACAACAAGAATATTCATCTATACCAATTTCTTTTAGTTTGAAGACTAACTGATTGTGAGGAACCGTATCAAATGCCTTGGCAAAATCCAAGTAGATCACATCCTCTGCAACACCCTGATCTATACTTCTACTTACTTCTTCGTAGAATGCAATTAGGTTAGTTTGACATGACCTGTGTTTCAGAAAACCATGCTGATTATTGCTAATAACAAAGTTCTTCCCAATGAATTCCTGAATATTATCCCTTAATAGCCCTTCAAATATTTTCCCAGTCACAGAAGTAAAGCTCACAGGTCTATAATTTCCAGGCAAGGATTTTGAACGATTTTTAAATATAGGAACAACATCTGCCTTCCTCCAATCCTATGGTACAATACCTGAAACAAAAGAATCTTGAAACATTAAATACAGAGGTTCACTTATTTCCCCACTTAGCTCCTTAAGTACTCATGGGTGAATACCATCAGGCCCCGGAGCTTTATTTACATTCATTTTCTTTAATAGCTGTAGCACCTTGTCTTGAGTTATCCAATCACAAGTTATCTGCAAGTTTTTTGCAGCAATCATTTGCATATCTCTTGCCATGTGTAAGTGTGTGAGTGTGTGTCTGTCCGTGTCAGTGTGCATGTGTCTGTCAGTGTGTGTGTCTGTCAGTGAGTATGTGTGTGTCTGTGTGTGTGTCTGTCAGTGAGTATGTGTGTGTGTCTGGCAGTGAGTGTCTGTGTGTCTGTCAGTGTTTCTGTGTGTGTGTCTGTCAGTGAGTATGTGTGTGTGTCTGTCTGTGAGTATGTGTGTGTGTGTCTGTGTGTTGTGTGTCTCTGTCTGTGAGTGTGTGTGTGTCTGTGTGGTGTGTCTCTGTCTGTGAGTTTGTGTGTGTCTGTCAGCAAGTATGTGTGTGTCTGTCAGTGAGTGTGTGTCTGTCAGTGTGTGTGTGTCTGTCAGTGAGTATGTGCGTGTGTCTGTCTGGGAGTATGTGTGTGTGTGTGTGTCTGTCAGTGTGTGTCTGTCTGTGTGTCTGTATGTCCGCAAGTATGTGTCTGTCTGTGAGTGTGTGTGTATCAGTGTGTCCATATGTGTGTGTGTCAGCGGGAGGATCAGATTTGGCACAGGGTGGTAGAGGGGGGTGCTGTGGTTTAGTAGAGGGGGATGCTGGGGGGGGGTTATACTGTACTTTTTAAAATAAACCTATGTTTCTATGAAAAGTTACGGTATTTTTTTTTTTTGGCGGCCCACATGAACTTTAACCTTGTTTATGTGGCTCGATCCAGACTTTGAATTTGACATGCTTGATCTTCATGCTTGTTAATATTTAAGCTAGCTAAAACATTGTCTCTACCATATTTACCAGGTAGAGATATATTGAATCGTGTGCAGTGTGGTTAATGTGGGGATCTTCATCTTATCTGTTCGTAATACTTTTCCAAGAGTATATAAATTTGGTAATAACCATTTCAGCAAACAATAACTGGACCACTATTTTCTTGAGCATTTCTAGTCATTAGCCTCTTTGTCAAACCTGATATTGTGCTGGGATTCCCTTCATGGTTCTTTATTATTCTTATACGTGTATATCTTGCAAAGTGGTGTGCCAGCAGTTACAAATTAGTTTATATTAAAGGGACATTATAGGCACCCAGATCACTTCATATCATTGAAGTAGCCCGGGTGCAGTGTCACTGCCACATTTCGTCCTGCAATGTAAAATGTTGCCGTTTTAAAGAAACTGCATGTTGACATTGTAGGGTTAAGACTACCTCTAGTGGAGAGGCACTTCCTGCTGTCAAATCAGTATGAATCTGTGAAATGACGCTGTACATTGTCACGATTTGCATTTCCTATGGGGAAGGCCTAATGCATGCATGTTGCTCGCCATACATCTGCATTAGGTTAAAAACTGGCAGAATGCATTTCTATGAGGAAAGTTCAGTGTCTCCATGCAGGAGACACTAAATGTCAGTGCTGCACATTGTGTAGCACAGCCACAGGAAGCATCTTTAGTAGCCCTCTAAGGAGTGTCCACTGGATGCATCACTAGGCTGTAATGTAAACACTGCATTTTCTCTAAAAAGACAGTGTTTACCGCAAAATGCCTAAAGGGAATGATTATACTCACCAGAACAAATACAATAAGCTGTAATTGTTCTGGTGACTATAATGTCACTTGAAGTGTACATAGCTCCTATCTTCTACTTTTTGTCAAGCATGTTTTCAGTTATATGTATTACAGTTGTGGTTGTTGCTTGAAAATAATTAATATGTAAGTCTAAGACCATTTTATTAACTTTTGACATGTATGCCAGCGTAAGGATATCATGCATATTTCAAAACTTGGCGTTTACTTGTTTAGCAATTTACTGATAACTAGTGATGTCCCGAACTGTTCGCCGAACGGTTCGTGAACGGTTCGCCACGAACGGTTCACCACGTACTCATCATTGAGTAAACTTTGACCCTGTACCTCACAGTCAGCAGACACATTCCAGCCAATCAGCAGCAGACCCTCCCTCCCAGACCCTCCCACCTCCTGGACAGCATCCATTGTGAAGCTGCATTCTTAGTGAGCTGTGACATGACATGTTAGTAAACTAGAAGAAGAATGTTTATTGAAAATGATCAGAACGGTAATAACTACCTGTCGTGGTGTAAATATCATGAGAGATTGAGAAGCACTTGACAAGCTTGGTATACAAGTGGAAACGCTTGCTGGTGCTTTGCCAATTTATTTTCTTGTGTTTCTTCCTTTTCTATATGACTTCAATTGGGGTAAATAGGCTAACAAATATACAGATCAGACTGGGATGTTTGAGATATAGGGATTAGTAAGAATCAGCAACTCTCTTCTTCTTTTCTACTGTAAGGCTATAAACCCAGATTAACCATACACCCCCTAGTGGTGGTTAGATGCATTATTTTTCATAAGTAGCTTTTTGAATTTTATAACATGACAGGAGGCTTTGTATTTTGCATAATCTCTCTTGACTAAAACTCCAGCAGCACATATTTAACAATAAGCCCCTCCCTCTGTATCACTTCCTCTTTCTTTGCTGCTCCAGTCTAAGCACAGGTCAGAGTATTTGTTCTCAGCTCACTTACATTGTCTATGTTTGTGTTGGATTGAAATTGAATTTGATTATAATCATTCTTATTCTCATTCCCCTGTGCTCTCAGCTATCTGCCTTACCCTCTTGATTATACATTTATTGGTTT